AGCCTCCGTGAGACCCCTCTCCCCCTGGCCCTCCTGTGCAGCCAGAGCGGGCCCAGGGCCTGGCTCCAAAACCCACACGTGGAGGCCGGGTGTATCCTCTGGGGAAACAGGGCAGAGTCCAAGGGCCTCGCGGCCGTGCCCTGGACCAGGCTCATCCCCGTCCGAGGCGTGTCGGAAGCCGGCGGGAGCCCCGCTGCTCTCCGGAGCACTGGCGAAGGACCCTGTCCTATTTCGCTCCCCTTGCACGTTTTGCAGCTAAAGGTGCCGCTTTTGTGTAATTTGCAAAAAAGTCTATCACGTTCCTCACTGCCCCAGCTTGGGCTTAAACTTTGTGCCCCAGACGTTAACGGAAGAAAAGGCTGAAAAATGGCTTTAATGTTTAATGGCATAACATCCAACAAATGCCTGCGTGGCACAGACTAGCTTTCCTTAAATTTACTGAAAGAAACATACTGCCTGTAGGGTCCTGTCTGCCTCAAAATCCTCAACTATGGCAGAGTCCATGAGCCACAGTGAGAGCATTTCAGTTTTCCATAAAGAATTAGATGCTAAAATCAACATGATCCTAAATACTGTGAGACACGATTAGCCACGAGCATCTGCAAGGGAGTCCAGAGAAACCATCTGCACCTTTCCCAGCAAGGGCCGAGGTACCTCCTGCTGCTCCCAGTCCTGCTCCTGCTCGATGCACCAAGGCATTCACCGTCGGTGGGAGCTCGTCACAACCTGGTGGTGTTCTCTGCCACCTTTGCCAGGACCTGAAGACCTTTTGTCACCGTGCTGCTAACACGTAACACCCCGGGATGGCATTCAAATCTGGTATAAATAGATGTACTGCTACGCAGTGATGTGCTGTCAGCACTTTGCTGATGGTGCTTGTAAAACTCTGCCCGTGCTTGGTTAAGGGGTTCAGTGAGAGTTAGGTGATACCTGGGGATTTCTAGAGAACCTGAAAGTCTGTGAAGTGTTTTACTTGAGGTTAGCTATATTTTATGGAGTGTAAGAAAGACACCACTGAATGTAAGAAAAATGGCTTAGGAGGTTACTGGTGGGCAGGTGGGAGTCCAGGCAGGAGGAGTTGTCATACACGATCAGGACCTGCTGTTCCGGGGCATGGCGTTATCGGCTGCCTCGTGGCTGGCACACTGATGTGGCACCGGTATCTCTGCAGCTTGGGGACCGGCTGCCTGTGTAAGTCTGTGCGCTTTATGTCCCAGCGTCTAAGAACAACATCAGTGGGAGCTGGCTTCATGACAGGCATCTGATCCCTCATCTCCCAGGACCTCCGTAGAAGAGAAAAGAAAAAGTGATCCAGACTCTTTCTGCCAGCCCAAGTATGGACTTTCCATGGCTGCCTCCCTACATCACATGCATGTCCTCGCAGACGGTCTCTATCATGGAGGACTTGTGGGTGCTTTCTGCTTCTGGGCTTCCTTCAGAGGCCTTCAGCTGCCTCCTGAAGCGAGAGAAGACCATCCTCAGGGAGGAATATAGCTCCTTGCTCCGCAGGGCATAAATAATGGGGTTCACCATAGAATTGAGCAGGCAGAGGGTGCTGCAGAAGGCAAACACCTTGCGCAGGTGATTGCTCAGCCTGGCAAAGATGCTGTAGATCATGAGAACGAGGACTGGAGACCAGCACAGCACGAGGACAGTCAGCACCATGACGAGGGTCTTGGCCAACATGACATCCATCCTCATCCTGGTGTTTTGCTTTCCTACCTGCACTTGGTGCTTCTCCATGTAGGCCACGTGCTGGTGAGCCCTCCATAGCACATGTGCGTAGGCGTAGACGATACACCCCAGCAGGACCATGATGAAGCAGATCCAGCTTCCCAGATAGTTGTCATCCACAAATGGGAACAGGTCGGAGCAGGTCGAATTGAGTGTGCAGCAGTTCCAGCCCAGGAGGGGCAGGGAAGCAATGGTCGCACACACCACCCAGAGCAACCCCAGGGCTATCCATGCTCTCTTCCTTGTCATGAGGAGCTTGTATTCGGACGGACGGCTGATAGAGATGTAACGGTCCAGGGCTGTCAGAAGCAAGCTGCTCAGGGAGGCAGAGAAGGATGTGTTCACCCCTCCCAGCTGCAGCAGGAACATTTCTTTAGAGAAATCTGTTTCATTAAAGACATGGAAGTTCACAAAACTGCAGACGAAGATGATGCTGGCCAGGATGTCAGCCAAGGCCAGGCTGCTGATAAAGAGGTAGGAAGGCTTTCTCCGGGTCCCAGGGGAGGAGAAGATCAAGTACAGCACCAAAGAGTTCTCGAAAATGCACAGCGTCCCAAAGAGGCCGCACAGCGTGGCAATGCTTATCTTCTGCGCTTGTGTGCTGAGGACCATGAAGCACTCCATAGTGTTCACACTGCATTTGGAGGCGTTTTCATGTATCTTACAAATATCCATTGTAATTCACTGGAGCTAGGAGCTTGCAGAGAGCCCTTCTGCTTCCTTCTGCACTTCTTCAGAGGCTCTGAAAAAGACCAAGGTGAAGAGGACTTACAGGAGCACAATGAGTAATAAATTCAACCCACTCAGACACATACCTCCCTTTAGAGGGAGGCAAGCAAAAGGAAAATAGCCCAGGGAGATCTACTTTCAGGTCCACAGCCCAAATGCTGGAGCCACCTTCCACCCTTTCCCAGCAGAGATCCAGGCTTTGTCCCACCGGTGATTTGGCTGAGACCCGTCTGTCACAGCCCATGGGTACCACGTCCGTAGTCCGTACCACATCCATCTCGGGCTGTTTCTTCACCACAAGAGGGAAGCAGCAATGCTGAGAATTGTACAAATCTTGGGCCAGCTCTTACCAATCCTCCGGTGGAAGGGACTGCTCCTGGTGACATTGTGCCAGGGACAGGCCCTGGAGAACAGCCTGTCCGAGTGAAGCTGCCCCGGGAGATGGCTAGGATGGAGAAGGACGAGGGATATTGCACTGCCAGGGACTCGGTGCAGCTCATCTGGGAACACAAAAGTGCACTTTGAAGCACTTACTCCTCACCAAAGCTCTTCGAACACCTAAAATGACAAGACTGGGTTTATATTTAAGCTTGTCCATTGCAGTTTTATGAAGCTCGGCCTCATTAAAGTTGCATTTCTTCCCCCATAATCCCTGTGTCATGAGCCAGTCTATCCCATAGTCAGAGCGATTAAAAGTTATGTTTGACATCAATATTAGAGCACAGGCTGGACATAGAAATGGGGACATGCAGGAGTTAGAGCACCTGAACCTAAGAACCTCTGTCCATGCCCAGGATTAGGTTAATTTTATCAATATTTTTAGCTTCGGCAGAGATGCGAGAGAAGGAAATGCCTTATTTTCCCCTAGGCAGATGTTGAGCTGCTCAGTGCACTCTGCAGCAGCAAAGTCGTGTTTTTCTCTACACTTCTGCAGCTTAATGCATTTAAATCCTTTCATCTTCATTACACAGATGAGCTTGTCCTTCAGATGTTATTTTTCTCCCATTCTTGCTCTTGATTATACTCGTGCTTTAAACCAAATGCACTTTCATTGTAGGCTCAGCTGCCTCCTGTTGCCTCCTGTACCGGGGGGAACAAGGTCATCCCGGACCAGGTTACAGAGAGCAGATGAAGAGGCGGTTGTCGGATACACTAAAGCTGCCTTATTAGCAGAGAGATGCTGTGTCCCGCGTGCTATGCAGGGTCAGGTCGTACCGCCCTGCTGCAAAAGCCCATGGGACAGGACCCCCCCTTCCCAAAAACATCCGCCTGGCTTCAAGTATCCAGGATCCCACATCCAGGCAATGAGATCATGAGTTCCCGCTGCTGGAGGAAAGCACTGAGCTGACAGTGCTCCGTTTCCCTCAGAACAAACAAGTCACTATCTCTCTCTCTCCTCATCTCTTTTTTTTGAAAGAGGAAATGTCCAAAACGTGCGTTCCACAGCAGACGGGACGCGTGACAGCTACAGGTTCCCGGGGAGCGGAGCGAGCGCCCAGGCAGTGCAAGGGCCAGGCTGCTGCACTGCTGGGCTCCAGGCACCGGTAGCCAACCGTCTGTGGTTTCTCTGGTTTTTGAAACTCAGCAAAGGCAGCGGTTGTCTTTAGAGGTGACGATAGCCAGCAGTGACCAACACGCTAGAAGCCTCTGTCTGCAACATCTTAGCAGTGACAGGTATTTTATACCCGTCTTCATTATTTCCTTCCCTGCTGATTCCCCCGTGCCCTGGCACCCATCACTGTTTCTGTGTTTTGCAGTAGTTGCAAAATACCCCCAAGCAGTTAAGAGGCTGCCCAGGAGCTCGTGGAGAAGAGTCTGAGCCCTAGCACTTTCCTCCTGCCTGCCTGTCGAGGCTCAAACACCCGTGGCTGCAGGGTGTTCGGGGCACAGAGCCAGAGCAGTTCAACCCTGATTTGCATTTCTTGTCTTATCAGACTGGAGGAGTCCTGGACTTTGGGCTGAAATGTGGCTCAGCATTGCATCAAGCCTCTCTCCTCTTACATCAGGCTCTGGCATGGGGTAATCACGCAGGACCAGAGATGTTGCACTCGATCTCAGCACTCTTGTTTCCTGCAGCTCTTCACAGAAACACTACACGGGCATCAGTAATTACTAACTGCTGTTATTAAACCTGACAACATCTCTCCCTCCAGAGAGAGATGGATGTAGCAGACAGATGGTCTTGGACATATCTCAGGGCTCAACAGGGACCACCGCGGCAGCAACTGCCTCCTCGAGTATCCAAAACTCCCCAGCCAAAACTCCAGCATCCAAACCAAGACATCTCTTAATTAAGCAGACTCCAGCATCACCTTGACATCTATTAATTGCAGCCAGCACTCCCAGGAACATCTTAAATTCTTGATATCTGCAGTTGTGCGATGTCCAACGAACATACTTACGAGCTTGGAAACTGGACTGAACACTAGGCAAGAGACTGAAGGCCAGCAAAATGCTATCCCTCATGTTACATTGCCTGGGGAGAGAATTTGGTTATAACAGTAAAATAACTCCTGCACTGACGGTTCTGGTACAGCTCGCTCCATTCAGCTGACATTATCCAGATAAGCCCGCAGGTTCAAAATACTGTGCTGGGCTCGTAGCAATCAGCCAGCCAGCCCAGACCTTCTCTTCCCACCTCTGTCGTGTCTCAGGCTGAACCTCTTTGCAGTTTTGACTGAGCTCCCCCAAATCGTCCTTCCAGCTCCCGTGTCTCTGAGGGAAAGCACGGGGCTTTGCTCCAGCACAAGATCTCTTCTGCAGAAGCTCCAGCGTGTGAAAACACGGGCAGTGCCAGGAGCCCCTCTCCTTGCACTGCATGTCCCTATTTATTTTTTTTTTTTTGGCCATGAGGCTGCTTCTTCCTGCCATGGGGACATTTTTCTCTTGTCAGATGGGCTCCTGGATTTGACCATTTGTTTGTTCGTGCCCACAGCCTCCTGCATGCTTCAGCTCCTGGGAAACAAGCCAGCCGGTATCTGGATCCCAGGGGAGAGCCCATCTGCACTACCCTCCATGGGGCAAGTCCCACTTCCAGGGTGGAAACCCCCTTCCAAGGGGCAGCAGCTCCACCTCCCTGGGAATTACAGCCCCAGGCACCACTGTGCATCCCCACCACGACCAGCCCAGAGGGTCCCTGCCTGCCAGGCTGGCATTTCAGCTCAGCAAGAAAGAGTGAAGCATCTTTTTGCCCTCCTTTAGAGCCAGGAGGTTGCAGCACAGAGGGACGGGATCCCTGGGAGCCGCGGGAGCCGAGCGGGGATTTCCTGGGCCTCTGCACAGGATTAACTCTCCTCCCAGCACAGCAAAGTTATCTCCTGCCAGCAGGATCTCCCAGGGCAGAGGAATATTCTACCAAAGTCAAGTCATGGAAACCCCATCTCCTGCAACGGAGAACCCCCCCAGACCGTGCCAATAACGATAGCCCCAGGAGGCACCAAATGGAGGCAACGCACTGAATGAACAAGAAGCCCAGCTATTAGGAACTAAACGCAGATAAGACATTTGGGAATACAATATATTTCTGATACAGCCTCACTGACTGCAAAGTCTGCCCAGAAGCAGCAGAGAAACCTTCCCCTCATTAGATCTGCTTGTGAGCCCACTCGCTCCAGCCTAATAACTCTGCTGGCTTCGGTGGAAATTAAATCTACGAAAGAAAAAGTCCTTTTCCATTTCAGTGCATTGCTGCGATTGATTTCAGCTGTCAGACTTACACTGCCTTGCACGCAGCAGCAGGGTTTCTGCATTTACAGAGACATCTCAGAATCCTTGTGATTAATAAGTTAACATACCGGTTGCTTAGATAATGTAAAATTAAATTTTCCTGCTGCACTCAGACAGTGCAACGTGCCTGCAGCACTCTGAAAGTGCTGGCCTTGAATATTTCATCTCCAAAATTTCTGAGGGATTTGATCTTTACAATAATACAAAACGTTTTAAGTGATCACCTAATATGAACACGTGAAGTGATTTATGCAAAAATTGACATTACTGCTTGGACATTTCACTTGCTGAAAAAGCAAAATATCTTTTGCTTTAGAAATATTTTAGTTTGTATACGATTTCTTGTTTCAGTTGCAGAAGTTTTGCCATTATTCTGGAAATAGCTGTTCATCCAGGTTTGTCACTCCGACCATATTAAATAATGCCGAGCGGAGTTACCGCCCTGATGTAAGAACTGTCCGGCAGAAGCGCCGCACTGAAGATTATACACTTTATTTCTTTTCAGAGCCCAGTTCTATCCATATGTGACTGCCTGGGGTGACAGCAGTTGAAGCACAGGGTGTGTGGGTGCAGAGCAGCACTGAAAATGCCAGTTCGGGTACAAAGCATGGCAAAACAGAGCTTCTCGCACCAAAACCACCGCGCGCGGGGTCATAATAAACACTGACTCGTGCAGAACGTTCAGCCTGAGAACTCGGGATCACGCTCATCCTTGTGAGACATTTGGAAATACCACTGACATATCTAAGGTTAATATTTCCTAAAATCAGCTGTAAAGAGTTAGTCCGCAGTCTGCTATTTAAACACTTACCTTTCTTGTTCTCGTTAAGAAAGCATTCAGCCTAAACCCCCAGTTTTCCCACCTTTTGTTACACACTGCATTGCAGTTTATCCTGAATAACACCGGGAATCTCCCCATGCCAAACCCTACGCAGCGGAGTCTCCCCAGACTGCCTGCGTGCGTGTCAGCACCGTGGGCTCAAAGGTACGATGTGTTTTACTGTGAGAAAAAGGATCCTTGGCTGCAGGATCTCCCCACGGGTTAGCAAACGCAAACCACTCACCTCCTCTCGCTCGTGTCGTGGGCTGGGGATGCTTGGGGGCTTCCCATCCCTCCAGCTCTCAGGGCAGTTTGTGCAGCTGCGGATGGTGCCTGCTTCCCTTTCCTTTCACATCACTTCTGGTTTCATCTGGGTTTCTCATACCATTCTATTTTATTC